AACTCTCAATTTTGCTAGGACATAATTTTAAAGAGTACTTTACTCTTGGAAATAAACACATTTTTCTTGTTTTTTTGTGTTTTTCGACCGATAACGACGTGACAGCGATCCCAAACTATAGAACAATTACGTACTGGCATAGAACAACTTGGAACAATTCTCAGTTTTGCTAGAACATTATTTTAAAGGGTACTTTACTCTTGGAAATAAACACATTTTTTTTGTTTTTTCATCTTTTTTGCCCGCTAAAGTCGCGATAGCGGTCCCAAACTATAGAACAATTACGTACTGGCATAGAACAACTTGGAACAACTCTCAATTTTGCTAGAACATAATTTTAAAGAGTACTTTACTCTTGGAAATAATCACATTTTTCTTGTTTTTTTGTGTTTTTCGACCGATAACGTCGCGACAGCGGTCCCAAACTATAGAACAATTACGTACTGGCATGGAACAACTTGGAACAACTCTCAGTTTTGCTGGAACATTATTTTAAAGAGTACTTTACTCTTGGAAATAAACACATTTTTTTTGTTTTTTCATCTTTTTTGCTTTCTAAAGTCGCGATAGCGGTCCCAAACTATAGAACAATTACGTACTGGCATAGAACAACTTGGAACAACTCTCAATTTTGCTAGGACATAATTTTAAAGAGTACTTTACTCTTGGAAATAAACACATTTTTCTTGTTTTTTTGTGTTTTTCGACCGATAACGACGTGACAGCGATCCCAAACTATAGAACAATTACATACTGGCATAGAACAACTTGGAACAACTCAGTTTTGCTAGAACATCATTTTAAAGGGTACTTTACTCTTGGAAATAAACACATTTTTTTGGTTTTTTCATCTTTTTTGCCCGCTAAAGTCGCGATAGCGGTCCCAAACTATAGAACAATTACGTACTGGCATAGAACAACTTGGAACAACTCTCAATTTTGCTAGAACATAATTTTAAAGAGTACTTTACTCTTGGAAATAAACATGTTCTAGTAAAATTGAGAGTTGTTCCAAGTTGTTCTATGCCAGTACGTAACTGTTCTATAGTTTACGATCGCTGTCGCGACTTTAGCGGGCGAAAAAGATGAAAAAACAAAAAAAAATGTGTTTATTTCTAAGAGTAAAGTACCCTTTAAAATAATGTTCTAGCAAAACTGAGAGTTGTTCCAAGTTGTTCTATGCCAGTACGTAATTGTTCTATAGTTTGGGACCGCTGTCGCGACGTTATCGGTCGAAAAACACAAAAAAACAAGAAAAATGTGTTTATTTCCAAGAGTAAAGTACTCTTTAAAATTATGTCCTAGCAAAATTGAGAGTTGTTCCAAGTTGTTCTATGCCAGTACGTAATTGTTCTATAGTTTGGGACCGCTATCGCGACTTTAGAGGGCAAAAAAGATGAAAAAACAAAAAAAATTTGTTTATTTCCAAGAGTAAAGTACCCTTTAAAATGATGTTCTAGCAAAACTGAGAGTTGTTCCAAGTTGTTCTATGCCAGTATGTAATTGTTCTATAGTTTGGGACCGCTGTCGCGACGTTATCGGTCGAAAAACACGAAAAAACAAGAAAAATGTGTTTATTTCCAAGAGTAAAGTACCCTTTAAAATAATGTTCTAGCAAAACTGAGAGTTGTTCCAAGTTGTTCTATGCCAGTACGTAATTGTTCTATAGTTTGGGACCGCTGTCACGTCGTTATCGGTCGAAAAACACGAAAAAACAACAAAAATATGTTTATTTCCAAGAGTAAAGTACTCTTTAAAATTATGTTCTAGCAAAATTGAGAGTTGTTCCAGGTTGTTCTGTTCGTTTTTAGCTAAAATATACAGTTTGGTGTTTAAGAGATAATAACTATAGCCGAAAACGTAAAAAAACTGTTTTGGCGCACGAAACTATTTTTTTATTATATCTCGTGAAATATTTTGTTTAGGGAATTATCACTTTGGAACAATGTTTAGAACAACTAGAACAATCTGGAACAACCTTTAAAAGTTCGATTTTCGAAAAATGGGGGGCCAGGTCAAAAAATCGTTTTTTTCCATTTTTCGCGAAAATTTTTATTTTTTAAATTTGATCTTTTGGAACAATTTAGAACAAGTCTAGAACAACCTGGAACAACCTTTAAAATTATAAAATTCGAAAAATGGGGGGCTAACTTCATACAGGCGATTTGTTTGTAGTTATTTCTTGCAATGTCAATCAAAATTTATATTCAGAGAAGAGCAGATTTAGAAAGAATTTACTGCCATTCTACATATTGAAAAATTAATTTTTTAAAGACAGGTGCCAGATATTCACATAACAGAATGCGCGAAATATCTTAATTCGAAAAAGTATTTAACTTGAAATAGATCGATATCGATCTTGAAGCGAAAAATTTAAGGAGAATGTCCAGCACCCAACTTTAAGATTTGTTTTATTCCGGAAAAGAAATGTGGATCTATTTCTTCTGGATTGGTTTAAGTTATATATATTTATTTAATTATGCAAATAATTGATGAAGAGTTAAATTGAAAATGATAAAAGATTCATATGATACTTGACGTTCATAAGACGACTTAAGAGATCAGCTGTCATGTTTTAAATACATGAATTTCAACATAAAATTATTGTATTATACAACATAAAAATATAAAAGAACATCTGAATGTATTTATTGGCATCTTGATAACATATTTGATCGTATTATAAAGATAATGATTTGTACAATCAGTCACGTTCTACAAATCTCCAGTAAATCTTGATCTATATTAGATTAACAACGCATTGCACAATGTTTAGCAAAATATTTTTTCAGTGTAGTAAAAAAGAGAAGGAAAAGCGTAAAAATTTATTCAATGGATAATTATATATATATATCTAATCGATTTCTCATATATAATGTATGCTATTCGTGTTTGATATATAAGTAGTGCAACCAAATAGATTAGCTTCTGTTTTTATTTTGTCTGCTAAAAAAAAGCATTCATTTTATTACTCATTATTATTCATTGATTACAATTAAATATTTATGCGATACGAGAAAATTGTCAGAGTCGCGCGAAAAAATTCGATAGAATAAGGTCTGTCTCTTATTTAGTATGTGCAGGAATTAATAATTCCTACATTGAAAAAAAATATGTTAACTTGACTAAACTTTCAATTAAATATTATTTTGCTAACTGAACATATAAAAATATTTAAATTAAATATATATTAAATCTCATAACGAAACGTATATTATACTAATGCATATACATATGTTCAATTAACAAAATAGTAATTTAATTGAAAAGTTTAGTCAAGTTAACAAATATTTTTTCAGTGTAGTAAAAAAGAGAAGGAAAAGCGTAAAAATCTTTCTCGAAAAGATAAAATCTCGGATATCCGCGAAAGAGAAATCAGCAGCTACGAACTCTTCCGATTTACTGACTCCGAGCGAGCAAGGTCTCTATAAATGCGTGGCATTCGTATTGATAGCTTTTAGTGGTGGGAGGTCTTTCGAGAACGATACGACGCAACATATAAACATATGCGTGCGTCCACACCTATTGAATATATACACAGTATTGTTTATTTTTTTTTCTCCCACCGGATCCATTCCTATCCTCTTCGATCGCACGGTGATGATCGCGGCACATTCGCTGCTGGAAAATCGCGAACGCTTAGTAATGTCAAATAAAACTGGAATGTCGTGAAATGTTTTCTAGTGCGACGACGACATTTCTATGTGTCCTTTTATGTCAAATTAAATGAGATCGAAGCGATTCGTTATCGAATTGTCAAGTTCACGGACTGCGGAACGTAATCGGCCAGTGAGTGAATGAGTGTGCAGTTATTAAATGAAAAAAACCGGAATGCATCAAATTAATGATTGACGTCACGTAACAGCGTAAACGGAGTGAAAGAAAGAGTTGTCTAAATATGCAAAACTTGAAATATCGCGTTGCAGTATATATAAAAATAAAATAAATCTATATAAAATAATAATCTAATATACCATATATATGCGCGTTACAGAATTAATGATATATTACACTTAATAAAATGATATACGTGTTTTCTGTTTTAATTACTTAAGTTTCTCTCTATTATTACATGCTAATTTTAATGCAAAATATATAATTTTTAAAATATTTTATAATCTTAAACAAAATTGATAGTTTTTAAACTCAGAAAAGAGGCAAATTTTTTATAAAATCAAAAATCAGATAAAGAAATGCAATTAAATCCTTTAGCTGATGTTCAGAAATTAATCACGGATGACTTTTTGTTTTAAATTATTATCATCTTACAATTAGAGAGAATAGATGTATATACCTATATCAAATATTTTAACAGAAACAGTGAAATTGGAAATTACACAATAGAATTTATATAAAATTCTTAGAAAATTAACTATATACAGAAAAACTTTTTTCCTATCTTTTCTTCTGTTCTTAAAATTCTTAAAAATATATAAAAGAAACTTCTGCAACTTTTATACATGTAATACTTGATATTACAATAAAAGTTAAACCATTTTAATTTTGACAGAAAGTATATTAAATGATGAAATAATGTTTTTAAAGCAGCAGGTTGTTAAGAAGTGATCTACGCTAAACAGCTGCGTGCGAACGATTTGTATATGTGTGTTAAAGTTCACATGTAATCGCAGTGCAAACATGAACATCATAATCTATCTCCTTTAAATGCTCTTTGTGCGATTAAGAGTGTATGTTTGTAAAATAGATTTAAAAATAGATCTCGACGCCATCAAACAATCACAACTGCATTATACTATGATAATGCGACGATGTTGAATCGATATTTGATGCAAATGATTCAGTTTAACAATTAAATTAATATAAACCCGTATATGTGAAATGTATGTCTGAAAATTATATTAAAAATTATGTTGTGTATTGAAGATTAAAAATTATTAATTGGATCACTTATGTGAGATACAAAGCTATAAATAATTATTTATAAATATAAATAAAGCTGTAAATTATTATTTATATTATAAATTATAAATTATGTTTATAAAAAATTATATCTTTTTTTAACTCGTGCATCGAAAAAAATTGAAAATGCTTGATTTTGTAACGGTGTTACTAGATCCCTTCTTGCTTATCGGACTTCTTCTTGGTAGCCTATACTTTTATCTTAAGGCGACTTTTGATTTTTGGCAATGTCGCGGTGTACCATTCAGAAAGCCAACCGTGCTCGTTGGAAATTTCGGTTCCCTACTTTTATTCCAAAAGTCACAACCGGAAGGTATCAAAGAAATGTACCAGTGGTTCAAAGATGAAAGATTCTTCGGCGCGTTCCGCGTAAGAACGCCGGTATTAATCTTACGCGATCCCGATCTGGTAAAGAGTGTATTTGTCAAAGATTTTGCTTACTTCACGAACCGTGGAATTCCAATTAATAACACTCAGGTAATTATTATTTCTTTCTTTAGATAAAAAAAAAAACAGATAATTTCTTGAGCTTGTCTAATTACACTAAATCTTCAAAAATAATATAAGGCATGATATAATGAAGCTTTGATGTTAAAATGTCAATCCCATTTTAATTATGTATACCGCATCAGGATCCACTCTCCGGGCATCTGTTCAATCTCGAAGGACGCAAGTGGAAGGGCCTCAGGTCGAAATTGACACCCGCGTTCTCGTCAGGCAAACTGAAGCGGATGTTCTACCTGTTGGTGGAGTGCTCCGAGGAGTTGCAGAGGCTCATCGACGTAAGCTGCAACGCGGATCGTAATACAATCGAGGTGCGGGAACTCGCAGCGAAATTCACCATCGACGTTATCGGTAGCTGTGCCTTCGGCATACAGATACACGCTCTCACTGATGAGGAATCCGAATTTCATCGGGCGGCGAAGAGGCTCTCGAAGCCGAGCTACAAGACGACCCTCTGGAGGATGCTGCGAACGGCCATGCCGAAGTTGTACAAGCTGCTAGGCGTACAAATCATCGATCCGAATGTCACCAGATTCTTCAAGGACGTGGTGTCGCAGATGATCGATCAGAGAGAGAAAAATGATACTCGAAGACACGACTTCATGGACCTACTGGTCGAATTAAAGAACAAGGGCGTTCTGGAGAACGAATCTAGCGCGCAAATCTGCAACGAGGACACCCAAGCGGCAAAGGAAATTGGTAAAATGAATCGTGGAAGAGAGCATTCGTCTTTTTTATTCTTGAAAATAAGCTAAAAAGAATCCATTATTTTTGTAGAATTAGACGAAAACGCTATTGCAGCGCAAGCTTTCGTCTTCTTCACCGCTGGCTACGAAACATCCTCGAACACCATCGCATTCTGTCTTTACGAGTTAGCTTTGAATCAGGAAGTCCAAGAAAGAACCAGACAGGATATACGCAATGCCATAGAAGCACGAGATAATAAATTAACTTACGACGTAGTACAAGAGATGAAGTATCTCGATATGGTAATATTAGGTATGCACTCGATTACGATACAATCCAATTATTAAAGAGGGAAAGAGAATAATCATTCTGTAATTTTCTAGCAATGAGTACAATTTTAGCCTCAGAAATACTGTATTACATCACAATTTCAAGAAGTTTGCAATTAAAGTTGTAAAAAAAGACTATTTTAAATTTTAATTTTTAATTTTAAAAATCTGACAAATCAATCTTTAACACTAAATTATTAAGTTATTTATAAAACTTTCATATGTAATTGTTTTCAAGAAAATTAATTTTTACATTTGTCATATTAACTTTCATTTAAAATTTATTTTGACATCAGATTTATATTTGGCAACTAGACAAGAGACTAAATTTAATATAAATGATAAATTACGCTGATCTATAATCCTTTTTATAATTTTAATCTTAATTTTCTCAAAAAATTGGAACATGCATATTTCTGAGGTCAAAGTCATATTGACTATAAAAAAAGATTATTATAACTCATTACTATTCTTTTATTTTTTGTTGTTATCTTTATTAAAAAGATTTAAATTATTAAAATAATTATTAAAAGATTTACATTTACGACAAATTTTGACTAGTAATTTCGAATGCATTCACCATAAAAATCATAGCAATAAAAATAAAATTTGGATAAAATTACTACAAACATAAAAATGTGCGTAGAAACTCTCAGAAAGTATCCGCCAGCCCCATTGCTATCTCGGAAGTGTGAGTATAATTACCAGATACCTAATAGTAAAGTGGAATTGCCAGCCGGTATGCGGGTGATTATACCGATTTATGGCTTTCATCATGATCCAAATTATTATCCTGATCCGACAAAATTCAATCCTGAAAGATTTACAGAAGAGAATAAACGCACAAGACATCCTTACACATATCTTCCATTTGGAGAAGGGCCACGAAATTGCATAGGTATTGATTTTTATTTATTTAGCCTCTCTGTTATACTGTCTTTTTATTGCAATATTAAATTGAATGTTTTAAGTGTATTTTTAAAATGTTTTAAGTGTATTTTTAAAAAGTTAAAAATTTATATAAGAAAAGTTAAATAGATTTTGTTTGACTATGCTTTTAGTCAAACAAAATCTATTAAGTAATTTTTACTCAATAGTCTATTTTCAATTTTAATTTTTCTGTAGAATAGCTATAAATGGTATTGCGTATTGCACGAACTGCAAGTTAAGCAAACAGCTTATCCGGAATTTATAATTTGCTGACTCAACGCACATTGTTGCGTCACTCATTGCTTCGCTTGTATAAAACCAAAAAAAGTTTGATTATAGTCGGTGCTTGAAAACAGTGATAGAATTATTTGTCGATAAGAAATCATCTATATATAGATTTTCCAAATCCCATATAATCTCGCTTATCGATTCATAGATTTTAGAAAGTCTGTTTATCTTTGATCATTATCATTTATGTTTATTCTAAAAACAAAACAATATTAAATTGTGTATAATTATCATTTAACTCATTATATCTTTAATCTTTAATTTAATTTAATCTTAACATTTAATTTTAATAATTGACAAATAAGAAAATATATAATAATTAACATAAATAAGAAAGCATATTTTTTTTAATTGCGTAATATTTGCGAAACTTATTCGATAATTCGTTTAATCATTATTTATTTGAAAAGTAAGATGCACACAAAGTTGCTTGAGCATACAAATTTATATGCAATATGAAGCATTGCAAATTTATGCAATATGGAGGACAATCACCATGAAAATGTATCGTGCACTTTTTACAAAAAAAAACCATCTGTTACAATTCAATAAGCTTGTTTCGAAACCGCTATTAAATAATTGTCATAATTGCTGAAATGATGTATTCACGATTTCGTAACTTTGTAGGAACGCGATTTGCCTTGCTGGAAATCAAGATGGGGATAATATCGTTCCTCAAGGATCATCGAGTGGAAATGTGCGAAAGATCTATTGTACCGATAAAATTTAGCAAACGAAGTCTCGTGACCACGAGCGAAAAAGGATTTTGGCTCACCATTATTCCAACCATCTAGAGATCTGTCGATTTTTTATTTAAAAAAAAATGTTTAGGAATTTTTTAAAGAAAATTCTTAGAAATATATGATTAAATATATTAAATGTACATATATATAAAAGCGCAATCACAAATATATTATACTTAATAATATGTGTGGTTAATTGGCGGCAAAAATAGAATATCAGCTGTTGTTTCTTTCCTTGTGGTATTTTGTATAAGTTACTTAATTAAAAACTATAATCAGAAGCATTTTAAACGAAGAATTCATTGTTTACTAGAATCCGGATATATGTATATTATAGAAAAATTGAAAGAAATTTAATTTTCTTAATCTTGAAACAATCTTTCTCTAAAAAGTCATTTTAATAAAAAAATATATCTCGTTTCGTAAAAAGGAATAAATAATTTCTGCTAGTTTTATTAGAAAATAAAAGAAATTGATACACATATAAAATCATTAAAATATTATCAATTATATATTATCACAAATGTTACATCGATTTAATGATATACGTGTAATCATAATCATTCATACAATCTTTTAGAATTTTTTACAATACTTTTAGAAATATATATACTTTTAATATATGTTTAAAAAAATTACTTTAATCGAAAAAATAATAGTAATAAATTATATGTATATAAGTTGCTTTTATATATTTATAAAATTAGTGCAAAAATTTATATATCTTTAATACAATTATATGAATAATTTTAGTTAACAAAATAATGTTTGTTAAGTACAAAATTATTCACATAATTATAATAGAAATTCATGCGTACTTATCTATGTCACATGCATTATGTATACTTAGTAAAATTAAGTTTGTGTGAGAAATTACCTCATTATTTTGTACATGTATACATTGTTTTTAGAGAAATAATCAACTCCAAAGAAACAGTGTACTTAATTTTTGTACTTGTAAAACTATTTGCATAATATATGAATAGCGCGCAATAATAATTGTACAAAATATGTCGTGCTATTAAAGTACGAAGTTTTTATTTCTCATATAACATATAATGCACAAATAAGTCCCACGCATTTATTTTATTCTCTAATGCTTTAACTCTTAAACTTTCTTATCTTATCATATGTTTATTCTTTAATTTATGTCTTGCTTTAACAATAAGTATATGTATGCATAAACAAAAGGATCCTAAATCTTAACGGCATAGTATATATGTGTGTACGTGTCGAAAGAGCCGAACGTTACTCCGCGATCCTACGCAGACCATAAATTGAATCGGTCGTAATCAAATAAGGCTCCATCGTCGTCAGCTGATCGGAGCGCGCGGCACGTAGTCGCTGCGCGGCGGACTGCGCGCTTCGCTTGTTAAAGGTACTGCACAACAACGGAAAGAGTTAACGCTACCACTGTATTCTCTCCCCTCCCCCTCTCTCTCTCTCTTTTTCTTCGTGACGGCCGCTATTATTACGACCGCTATACACAGTGCCGTTTCGTCGTGCCTTGTACCTCCGTGCGCCGCTCCTCTCCGGCTGTTTACTCGTCGCAAATCCGTGCGTTGACCGATCGTAATAACAGTATTCGCGAGTCAGTGCACTCTCGCATATATTCGCGATTCGTAAAAATCCGTGGAAATATTTTTTCAGGCGCAGATTTTTAACGCACTCGCGACTATGGAAATTTAAAGTCGGGAGAACGCGAAATTCGCGAGCAGATTATTCGCCCGCGAGAAAACGGAGCGCGCTACAGGCGAGGACGACGTTAACGAAAAGAGAGAAAGGACGCTTACGGACACGGATGCTTGCGAGGAGCACCTGTCAACGGGGGACAACGCTTCTTCGGGAATAATGCCACGGTGAGCTAAGATATCTCTTCCGTCCGCGGAAGCGATAACTCGGCCCTTTAAACGCGCTGCAACTCGCCGCAAGTTTTATCGCGCGATTCTCCTTCTAGATATATTCTTATCGCGCGTTGATGTTAATATTACATTACTGACGACCAGTAGCGTACGCATCGTCGTCAGCATTTGCGAGAAACTCGAGAGATCTGTCAATCTGTCCCTGCTTCTGTGATTCCGTCTAAGAGAGAGATATATGTGTGCGAGATGTTTATATAAAATGGAGCAACATGATGAAAATAATGCAAAATAGGTGATCTCCCGGAACAGAACCTTCTCTTGGAGATCGTCCACCTCGTTAAAACGGAGCGGAAGTCTCAATATTGTTATTTTATCGCATCTCTCTGTTTGATGTAGGTTAGAGTGATTTACATTGCTGTTTTTTATTTGGGTATCAAGAGTCTACATTTATGTACTCACACTTGAATTGTTGGAGCATTATTAATATGATGAGCATAATCCTACAACTTATGTCAAAATGTCAACGTTTATATTAAAATATTTTTTATATCTGATTTTAGATGTCACACTACGATAGAAGTACCTGCAATCAAAGGACTGCGGTGATTGACCATGAAAGACAGTTTCAAGAAGATCTGGAACGAGCTCAAGCCCTCAGTTTGGAAAGCTTGGCTCTAGAGAAATTTAGATTAGAAAAATTACGCTCGGAATTCAGTAATGTGGAACAATCATGCATTACGCAGAACAATGTATGCAATAGTGCTACATCGGAAACAGATTGTTCGCAAAGAGAAAGGTAAAGATTATAAGTGTTTTGGTCTGTGCGAAGAAATGATTAAATAATCTAATATTTAATATTCAACAGATCTCAATGCAGAAGTCGACCAAGACCAGGATCCATTAACAATCAAACAAATCAAAAGAATACTGTAATATTAGCACCGCCACCTCCAATACCATGTAGAAGAAATTCAACGGCCACTGCTGCAAGTCAGGGTCCTTCTAATGACTTAATCAATTTTACAAGTTCTGTGAAGCAGGATAATCTGGCTGACTATTGCTCAGCCCCACCTCCACCTCCTCCGTAATATTTTTATATGATAATACATAAAATATATTTTTTGCTAACAATAATTTTTTATATAAAATTTATCTTTATATATACAATTTATATATAATTTTATTATTTTTATTTTAATATTTATATAAACTAAATTATCAGACTTAATATAAGAAATGAACTATTAATCCAGTGATTTATAAATTCACATTATTTAAAATATTTGATTAGTCATTCTTCTTTAGTTAAAACATCAACAATTTTATGTCCTTATATAAAACGAATATTTTTGTTACAGAAAAGCACCAATAGAACCTAACTGGGATACACACCCATCATTATTGAAGAAACAATCAAGAGTGTCTCGAAGTAATAGCTCAGCTGGCGCATATCATTCCAGAGATTTTAGATATCATTCTCTTTCTCCAGGTCCGCGATCTTCCACAGCACCATGTACACCAGGAACACCGGGAATTAGTCCTATCATGTCAAGAGCTAATAGTGTTAGCAACAATGTACCTGATATTGCACCACAGGTAGTACAAATTTACATAAAATCTTTGTTCTGAAACGAACATTCCCAGCCTACAAATATTTTTTTCCTTTTTTTCTTTTTTTTATCAGATTTATTTATAAATAATTAATACAAAGCAGTCTGTTAAAATACAATCTTTCTTACAGCCTGCATGGAAATTTATTATCTTTAACCATCTTTTCTTCAGACAGGTATCTTATATATCTGATTTGAGAGATGCTTATATTATTTTCTTTTTTTTAATAGTAATTTTTATTAAAGTAATCTATTTTTATTTATTTTTTTTTATACAATATTACAAATATAGCATAAGATATACCAATTAACCAAATAAGTTCTCACACTTTGCTTTTCTTCTAGTGAATGCAATAATATTTGCATTATATATACTTGTATCGCTAGCTTTTCAAGCAAGGGCTGTTCATCAATACATGAAATATAATCAAAGAAAATAATTATATCAAAAGTTGTACATTTTTCTTTTAGATTCCTCCATTGCCTGCAAATTATAGACCAACTGTTGCACCTGCCATGTGTGCCCCGGCAATACCGGTATTCTGTATAGATGATGAACAGTTAAACGTGTTAAAAGTGATAGAAAAGAAACCAAATAGCAATCTTATAGATTTGAATAGTTTTGAGCAAACGGAAGACAAAACAAATGTGCGAGTTAGCGTATTGGAAGCGTTTGATCCATTACTTATTAAAACTGACAGTAGAAATGATCCTACGCAAGAAAATAGAGACGGTAAATTTTATTTTATATTGAACAGAAGAATCTTTATTATTTAAACTAATTATGAAAAGTTTAGACAATTGATTTTTCGAATCATTAACTAGTTACGTTCTAAAATAAAGATAAGTATATTTCTGAGAAAGAGAGAAAGACATTATATTTATGACATTATGTCTTTATTCTTGTTTCTTAAATAACATTAAGTTTGTTCTTTTCAGCTGAACTGGCTAAACTAGTTCAAAGGTTATCTTTTTCCTTCCAATGTCGAGCAAAAATAAACAATCTCTGAACTAATATAGCCAGTTCAGCTGAAAAGAACAGACCTATTTAGATAGAAATTATACTAAATTATTGATGTTATGTAATATAAAATTTCAAATATATGTCTAAAAATATATCTCTCATATATAAGTAAAAAGAAAATTCTTCGTTATTAATAGACCAATTTTTTACAGAGTTGCAATCGCAAGTTAGTGGCAGTGTATACGATCCGTTCGATCCATTTGATTACATGTACAGCACAAACGAAAGCGTTAACTCGGATCCAGTTTATGCTGCTGTAGAAAAATCAGCAAAATCCCCGGCTATGTCGCCAGCTGCACCACCCCCATTGCCTCCTCGCAATTCGTCTGCATGGAACACCATAGAAAGACGAAAAACTTCTTTAGACCGTCGAGTAAGTTTCTCAGAAAAATTTTGTCCAACTTTTAACGAATAATGTTATCTTTTTTTAACGTTCTAAAACTTATTCCATTCTATATATTTTCTTTAATTCAAATAAATATACTAACTTTATTATTCATAATTTTATTATCTTCTTACTCCAATTTTAAAAATAATTAATTTATTGAATTTTAAAATCTTATTAACTTATTTATTCATCATCAATCAATCAAGATGAATATTGTTATTAATTTTTTTCAAAATCTATTTTCATTAATATACATATTTACTTATAGGCTAATTTTAATAATTACAATTTAATTTTATTTTTAGCAAAAGCGTCAAACACGATTGTACGAGAATGTAACTGTCATAAAAACCAGATCATCTCTTCATGATTGTGATCTGAAGGCATTTCATAAGATGATAAAGTCTATACGAAGTGAGTAAAATGTTTCATTGTGCTACATTTTAACTAATACACATCTCCATTATTCACGATTTCATTTATGATATTTTGACATTATTTAAGGCGAGTTTCCGTTTAATAATCCCACTACAAATATTGGATATGTAGTTAGCCCAATAATGGAGAATTTATATCCAGATGGCACAAGTATAAAATTAGTAGTTCATCCGCAATTAGTCAATAGTGATAAAGATCCTACAGCATCCATATCTTTTACTTGCAATGGTAAGTTAAACAAATTTAATATTTTAAATTTAATCTTCTTTGCATTATACATTACTCTAAATATTATATTTCAGTGAATTGTAGCGTTGAGCACGTTATCTTGAATGTTGCTTGTTCCTTAGAAGATGAGGATACAGTAAACGTAGAAAAATATTGTTTAAGAGTATGGGGCCTGGCTGAATATCTCGCACCTAATACGACCTTAGCACAATATGAATACATACATCAATGCATTAAGTTAGAAAAGGATATTGAATTAGCTATAATGAGCAGAGCACAAATTAAACAGTCACTTGCTAGAACAGTCAGTATCATGCGTTATATACATTTATATAAACATTTGCATGGTTATTTAAACATTAATTACGCTATTTTTCAGCTGCAAGATGATAATTGTGATCAGTATCTAAAATTAGAAGATATTCTACCAAATGAACCTTTGCAGCCTATTTCGTATGATACATTAATTATTTTACTAGGTACAATCATTATACACACATATAGATATATAGAAATTTTTTATTACAATATTTTTACATGGCCATTGTATTTTTGAATTACAGAAACAGTAGAGAAAGAAATGGAACGCGTGGAAAATGCTGCGTTACAATTGGTGAATACAAATCAAGGTTCTGTTCTACTACCTCAACTTCAACCACATTGCGTGGTGCAAGCAGTAAAAGCGGTGTGTGCCTTAATGGGAAGCATCGAGACGTTCGAGATCACCGAAGCTGTTGACAATTTTGTAAATGCTTGCTGCCAATTTCTACCGCAATCTCACACAGCCAACATAGAATGTAAAAAGCCCGAAATCATACACGAGGATGGCGATTATGCTGTGGTTACTTTGAGAAAAAAGTTTCCCGATGTGATTTCTTCGCATTGTCATAAAATTCGTGATGCTGTTCAAGAACTTGTCGAGACGTACTGTCATGCGTTTAGAGTTGATTTTCAATTAAATACCAAAGGAGACTATCCGACGAGTAAGAGAGAAAAACTCTTTTATATAAAAAATACTTTACATAAAAAAATGATATTAAAATCATAATATATTATTGTTTCCTTTACAGATACATTAATTTCGTCGGAAGTAATTGATACTATTCTGGTACGGGTCGGAGCTCTACATAGGTTGCCAACTACGTGGAAACACGACGATTATATAGTAGCAGCTCAAATCTTTCATGGAACTAGACCGGTAGGAAATCCAGTTTTATCGGAACCGATGACAGTCAGCACAAATTTTTATCCAAGAATTTTATTTAATTCATGGTAAGAACGGGAACGACGCCTCTTTTCAAGCTCTTTTCATCACGTTTATATAAAAAATAAATAAAAAATTATAATTTATATTAGGTTGGAATTTCGCGGAATAAGTGTCTGTCAAGTACCAAGGGAAGCCAGACTTGTAGTAGTTCTTTACGGCCGCACTTTACAACCTGCCGAACACGAATCAAACTCGTCCGCAGAGAATGCGATGCAGAAGGAAGAACTCGGATGGGGTGCTATACAGTTCTTTGATTATGACGGGTAAACGACGTGTCCTATATATAAATAATTTGCCATTTTCTTCAAGCAAACCTTTTTTATCTTTAATAAGATATCTATCTATATATGCTTACTCTTGTGCACATTTTTATACATTTTTATTTTCTATTCTAGTGTTATGAGCCAAGGAAGTTTTTTTCTGTCTCTTTGGCCAGCCATTGCAGACAAAAGATTAGGCCCAGCACCGGCACCTGGAATTCATCCATGTGGTGATACTCATCCCATTATAGGCTTAGAATTACCTGATTATGGAGGAAAGGTGTTATTCCCCACAGAGTTGAGAGATTATGATGTGGAATCGCTAGACTTTAATTCGTTAGATCAGAATACACAAGAATTATTAATAGATATTACACAGCAGGATACATTCTCTAGGTATGCTGTTTATATATAATAACTCTCATTTAATAATTATAAAAAAGATTTTTCCGGAATCTTAAAATGGATTTTATAAATATCAATTCTTATTTACAGACCGCCTATTGATGAAAGGGAAATTTTATGGGAGAAAAGACATTACTTGCACGACAGACCCGAAGCTTTACCTAAAGTATTATTAGCTGCTCATAGTTGGGACTGGGCATGCTTGCCAGATTTACATGCTTCACTCAGAGTTTGGAGTTTGCTGCCTCCGGTACAAGCTCTACAATTACTTTTACCATGGTAGGTTTTATTGAAAATTATTTCTCTGTTATAAAATTTCTAAGAGACAAGGAATGTTTCTTGTAGAACACCGCGTTTTTCTTATTTCTTACAGTTTCCCAGATATGAAAGTTAGAGAAATGGCAGTTGGATGGATTCGCGAATTAAGTAATGACGAACTTGTCGATTATTTACCGCAATTACTTCAAGCAATGAAACACGAGACATATGAAGCTTCACCTCTTACTCGATTCTTGTTAGAGCGTGCCTTATTTTCACCAAGGGTGGCTCATCACATTTATTGGTTGCTAACTCAAGCGCTGCCAGGACAAAGTCCCCAGGTACAGGTTGGGTGATCATGAGCGTTGGTAACATTATTATTAATTGCTTGTGCATTTTGTATTGAGCATTAATAGGAACAAAAATTCTCATTACAATAAAAATGAATTGTAATGATTAAAAAAATATTTCTATATATATTTCTCTCTTTCTCTCTTTATATAAGCAATAAAATTGAAATAATAAAGTTGCTTACGCAATATTATTGCATATAAAAGTTATTCTATATTGAATACATTGTAATAAAAGATATTATTTTTCCTCAGAATTCTGGTGAAATCGCTGTAGAAGATGACAAAGCTATCAGTTGTGCTCGTTATCAACGAAGATTGCAATTAATGTTAAGAGCTTTACTCGCAGTTATTGGAGATGCACTGAGAAAAAGTTTCCTGACCCAACAATTACTAGTTAAAGTACGTTTAATTTTATATAAATATACATACAGGATGTTTCAGAAATAGATGACTAAGCTTTAAGAGCGTATACTACTTTATTTATCATAAAGATGGACAAAAGTTATATGAATTTGGGTCCACTTTTTTCCAAATTATAAAACTTTTATTTATAAGACATGCTTTTACCTTTTCATCTTCTGAAACATCCTATCTATCTCGATTTTACATTAAATATAGCTAATTTTAAATTTGTTGCACAGAATCTACATGAAGTAGCTGAAAATATCAAAGTTACGAAGGAATCGTTACGAATGGAGACGCTTAAAATTGGTTTACAAAATATACACTGCCAGTTAATGGAAGATGACGGCACGTGTTTACCACTGTCTCCCAGTAAGTTAGTATTTGGCATCAACGTACAAACGTGCTCCTATTTCTCATCGTTCACTCTCCCGTTGAAAATTAACTTCATTAGTTGCGACAATGTAATAAGTCCGGCAATCTTCAAGGTACGTGTTTTCGAACTAATCTAATATAAATGTTCCGTAAGATTGTTTTATTTAGCGGTGCGTTTTTTCTTTTCAGGTCGGCGATGATTTACAACAAGATATGTTAACTCTCCAAATGGTACGCATTATGGATAAGTTGTGGTTAAAGGAAGGCCTCGATCTGAAAATTGTCACTTTTGCCTGCGTACCTACCGGTCACAAACGTGGAATGATAGAGATGGTGACGAATGCAGAGACATTACGAAAGATCCAGGTTGAATTTGGGCTAACGGGATCGTTTAAGGATCGACCGATCGCAGAGTGGCTAGCGAAGCATAATCCCTCGGAGTTGGAATATGAAAGGGCGGTGGAGAATTTTACTGCCTCTTGCGCCGGTTACAGCGTCGCCACTTATATCTTAGGAATTTGTGATAGGCATAATGATAACATTATGCTAAAAACGTCTGGTCATTTGTTCCACATCGACTTTGGAAAATTTCTTGGAGATGCGCAAATGTTTGGAAACTTTAAGAGGTGATGCACGACAATTTATTGTGTAGCTTACATATATTTGTCATTACTTAAGCAAGTTACGTACATTACGATACATGTTTTCTCTTATTATAATTATGTAATTTCTATTATAATCAAAATCATGATTTGGTATGTTATACTTTTTCAATTAGAGATCGAACGCCGTTTGTGCTGACATCAGATATGGCATATGTTATAAATGGTGGTGATAAACCTTCGGCAAAATTTCATCATTTCGTGGATTTATGCTGTCAAGCTTTTAACATAGTGCGAAAACATGGAAATCTGATTCTTCATCTTTTTGGACTGGTATGTTTTATATAATATTTATACTTAAAGAAAAATAATTCTTCTATTGAAAAAATGCAAATGCAATCTTAATGACTTTCTATGATTCCTCAGTTTTTTTATACAATCATACAGTTGAATTTGCTATGATATATTTTATATACATTTTTTTATATAAAATACGGATAAACAAATTAATAATTACACAGTGTTTCCTCGTTTCTAGTTAATACAATCTTGTGCTATGTACTAAATCTAGAAAAATTATGTGTGTATGTGTGTGTGTGTGTTAAAATAATCTATTTAAATTGTACAATTAAATTGAATATATTTTAAATAACGCAAAATTAAATTATTTTAAAAGGATATACAATTTTTTAAATATTTTAATTCATATATTTTTTTAATTAATTACTTATACTTTCTCTAAATGCAAGTGCATTTTATATAAATTTTGCAAACATTATGTATACAAATATTGAATATAGACAGAACGCATTTTAAATAAAGATTTTACGAGTTATGTGGTCTACGATACCGCGATGAAAACAATAAAGCCACAACGGAAGGGCTTTATCCGTAATGTTTTATCAGAAAGCGGACCGCTATCGCATTAAACTATACATGATGTAGTTAATTGGTCATTATCGCCCGCACTCTTACAAAATATTGTATGCTGCAGCAGTCTGAGTCAATCATGTTGAGAGTGAAGTGCTACTGAAAGTGAATAAAAATTCAAGAATCGTTCTAAATATAAAGTCATCACAATATTTCAATAAAAATCAACGTATTAATAGGGGGATTTATTGTTATCATCTTAACAGAGATAGATTCACACATACAATGGATGATTTAATATCCCGAAAGAATCTTTTCGGTCATTCATATAAACGAGATGTTATAGCGCGAAAATTGCACGATATCGAAATAAAAGATCATTTCAATAAAGCAAGAATGAACGAGTACACCACTTCGCAGATGACTTCGTCCGGTATTCCTGGGGTAACTATGGACGCAGTGAGTTACGTACAGAAGGCTCTGCTTCCCGGACAAACGAATCCTGAAGCAGCGGCAACTTTTGCTCGAATGATAGAAAGTTCGTTGAAAAGTTGGTTCACGCAGTTCAACTTTTTCTTGCATAATCTGGCGCAGCTCAGATTTTCCGGAGATCATAGCGAAGGAGAATTGTTGTCCTTTATTCCGCGCACGTACACGTGAGTATATTTTTCCACCTTTACTGTTATATATTATAATCGATCACAACTGCGAAACATCGAAAATCTGAGAATTTTCTGGTTTCTCGCGAATAGCAATTAATTGATTTATTTATCGTTATTTATGCAATTAATATAATGTTACGTTTGTTTTATAATTATTATAGAATGCAACAGGAAGGTCAATTAACAAGCGTGCAAGTTCATGGGTATCAAAAACGTTACGATCCGGAAAAATATTACATGTACATTCTACGAATACAACGAAAAGGACAACCGGACCCGACATATCTATTCCGATCGTATAAAGAGTTTTGTGAATTTTACCAGAAATTATGCATACATTTTCCACTTGCTAAAGTAGCCAGGTAAATGTTACTCGACACATTTTTTATCTGTTATTATCTTTTTATTATTATAATTTTTTTATAATACTTAATGCAAGTATTGCAAAATTATCATATAATTGTATACATTACATATCTATATATTAAGTACTTTATATTTTTATATATCAATATATAATATATTGCATATACATATAATTAAAATTAAATTCTAATTTTAAATACATAAATTATATAAAAAGATAATATTATTATAATTATAGATAAATATAACACATAGAAATATCTGAATTGAGAAATATTTATCTTTCATTTTTGAGATATCTTTATAACATTTTCTATAATATTTTTCTTTTTATTAAATCACTAGCTCATTATCTGAACGGCTCTTATCTGAACTATCATTTTGCTCTGTATTTATATTATTTAATTCCTCATATTGTGACAACGATTGTTCTTTTAAGTTTGAATTTTTGGTGGATGTAGAAGGTTCTGTGTTTACAATTGCATAATTATCACTGGAGACTGTTGGAGTATTTAAGATATCTGGAGAATTTAAGATATCTTCATTTTTCGGCATTGTTGTATTCGATTCAAAACGTGGTGAAACTCTCCGATATAAGCCCGTCATTGCTGGAACTTTAGACGCTTCTTTTTTTATTGATAGACGTGCTCGAAACCATTTTAAGCCCATCTTTCCAGAAGTTAATATTAAATCTTTAAAAATGAAAATTAATCTATATTATATAAAAAATCAAATCTTTTTAAATAAATTCTTAAACTATCTATAATCAATAATGAATAATCTATTTCATATTTTTACTAATACAAATGTGTTATTATACATATATTACGCGAAGATATAATATATATTACTCACTCTTACAAGAAAAGAAAAATCCTTATGTATTACCAAGTTGTGACTTGATAGATTTCCTTTGAAAATAACAGTTACTGTATATTTATTGAATATAATTTTATATATATCTTTCTCCTAAAATTAATATATTATCTCATTTTACTGGTTTTCAATATTAATTTTTCTAATATAATACAACAGATAGATAACGTGTAATAAAAGATTATAGTTTTTATTATCTATTAAAGTATAATTAAATACTTACAGTGCAGAACTGTCAAGGGAGAGTCATCACTTTGATGGCTGAAGAATAGATGTCAAGTACTTTTTCACGCGAAATTAAATTACGATGTAATCATAGCCATTATTATTTCAAGCGATTATAGATCAGTCTACGTGTGCGTTACAAACAAAAACTGTCCGCAGTTGTATAAAAAAAATATATATATATTTATTTATGACAAGACAGAAACGACACGTAGAAAGTTCACAAAGCATATATAAAAAGATATCTTAAACGCTAAAACTTTCGTCGCATAATATCGCATTTTTTGATATGCGTTATCTTTACATTATCCGATATTAGACGTATCTCAACAGTCTTAGTCACTCAAAGATTAATTGGCAAGCGTAGCGCAAAATTCATTAAGCATAATAATATCGTAAAAAACGAATTACTTAGAACTTTCGTATATGAACATTCCGTATATGAAAATTAAAGCACTGTTTAAAATCATTATTTAACTGTAGTATAAAGATATCTCAATATCACTATTGCTTAATACAGCTGTTCGGTTTCAACTATGTTTATTTACGGAACATCCGTCGAACGATACGTATTATCATCTTCCTCCGAATGCAGATGTTTACAAAAATACATATATAAAGCATCTCCATTTATCGACATTTCGGGAGAGTAATCTCGACTCCTTTTATTTTTTTCACAGTTTACCAAGTGGAATAAGCGTGGGACGGTCTAATATTAAACAAGTAGCTGATAAACGGCGAGCAGATATAGAGAAATTCCTTGTAAGTCTATTTAAAATGGCACCCGAAATATCTCAAAGTGATCTGGTTTATACTTTTTTCCATCCATTGCTGCGAGACCAACAAAATGCCGACATACGTTTGCGTAAAGTTAAAGGTATATTCTAATATTATATTCTGATTATAAATATTTCTTTCAAATATATATGTGTATATTTTTTTATTGTTACATGTATGTATATGAAACATATTCGTAATATATCATAATTATTAGAATATTCAAAAATAACTCAATCGGAAGAAAAAAGAATGGAGTTAATGAAAAAATCACATTTTGTACAAAAAATATAATTTATCTGAAGAGAATCGTCTAACCGATCTTCAAATTGCGAATGTTTGAATCTTGTAATGAAATTAATTTATGATGATAATAAAACACAATGCATTTTTTGTACAATAGTTGGAAATTGGTGGGCCGAGAAGAGAGTCAGAGATAACGTACAAAGCGGTCAAATCAAGTTGTCTCTTCACTACACTCGTGGCACTTTATCCGTCATGGTCTGTCATGCCCGAGGACTTCCTAAAGTCGCTAATGCTCAAGAGCCAAATACATACGTGAAAGTATATCTTAAACCCGATCCTACAAAAGTGACGAAACGGAAAACGAAAGTAGTAAAGAAGAATTGTCATCCATCATTTATGGAAATGGTAAGTAATAAAATTAAATTTATTAAGCTCTAAAGAACCAAGAAAATATATATTAAAAGGGATTGAATATTGAAAGGAATGTTTAATATTAATATTTTTATACATGCTTTAACATTTTTATTACACATTTTAGTTGGAGTACAGAATGCCTCTAGAAGTGATTAGAGAGAGAACACTCGAAGCAACGATATGGAATCATGATACATTGCAAGAAAATGAATTTCTCGGCGGTATAAGTTTACCACTCGGACGTCTTGACTTGACAAACGAAACTATTGAATGGTTCCCATTAGGTAGTGTACGATGAGGCGAGTACGAAGACTGTTCCAGAATAAAATCTCTTAATGCTCATAAATATTATCATTAGGATATACAGGAAACGTAACGCACAACATTAAAACTTTTTTAGTAAGCACAAGCAAGTGCAATAATCACTATGTTTCTCAAGATAAAAATAATTGTAATTTACATAGTTTTGTGCATCTCAAGCCGAGTTTCGTTTCTTTAACGAAGTTCAATATAATAAATATTAAAAATTATGTGATATCCAGAGAAGAGATAGCTATATATAAAAAAGTAGAGAGTAAAGAGAGTCAACTTCTACAAAGATCGCTTTAAAAAGTTAGTACACAACGATTATACTTAAAAAATATCTGCACATGCATGTATCTAAATATGCATGTGCATAACAAATAGAAAAAAATGTTGCAAAAATTTTAAATTATTTATCTATTATGTTTATAATATATATAGTTTTTTAACTATTATATATTTTTAACTCAAAATATATTTTTAAAAATTGTGAAAAATTTAGCAGAAATTTTAATCTATATATTATCTAATTTATACTTTATACATATTGGAAGTTCACTCTTTTACAGGAATTTTGTACACTTATTTATTTACATAACTTTTTATCAATTATATTGACCATCAATTGTAAATAGGAATTTATTGTATTTTATATCACACATACACACATAAATCTATAAGTGTGATAATGAAATAATTTTTAATCAGCTATAATATTGAACTCTTTTAGAAACATTTTATAGTTTAAATGAAACTATGCAATTTTTATCACATATATCTTAAAATTTAAATTTTATATAACATATATATAGCAAAAATTCGCATGTTTCACTGGCTTTTATGATGTTATTTTATTATTAGAAGAAAACTCCACATATATATATAAAATTGCTTGTCTATATAATGGCCTCATTTATAATAAATGAATATAACATTAATGAATTATTATGTAAATATATTGTCAAAATCATGTAATAAATCATGTTCAATTATACAGCAATTTTATATAACATACATAAACAAATCTATGTGTAAATCAGGAAAAATGATTTTTCTTAATTCCCAAAAAAATCCATTTTCCTGATATCCATTCATTTAGCTTGATAATATATAATTTCCTCTTACATAAAATTTTAATTAAATTAAAGAAACTTTTTTATTCACATCTCCTGATCGCTTCGAAATAAAAAACAAAAAACCTGAAAATGCAATGTCGATAATTTTAACATAACAATTATCAAATCTCCTGCACAGCAGTGTCATATGAAATTTTTTATACGCTTTTCAACATCGTCGAAAAAAAACATTTGTTGCGTGTCCATGTCGATTCTAGCATGGACCACAACAGATTGCGACTTTATCGACAGCGCTGAAAAGTGTTTGCGGTTAAGCAATTCCATCGCATGATGGCGCTGTTATGCGGGAAATTTAGTTGTTATCAAAAATTCGAATAGATTATTCGAAAACAGCGACTGAACACGACCACTCATATCGATCAGTGCCTAGGGTTCTTGAGTAACTAAAGACAATTAACCAACCAGAGAGTCTTTTAACTGACCAAGGTAAGGTGTTCAATTTGAAATAAAATTATCCCTCTCAAACTTCTCTCTGATGAAAACAAGACACTCCGAATAAATTTAAACAGAACACGTGTTAATACCTGTGCTGTATTTGTTATACATGCGTGAAAATAATGAAATATCTGCGTGATTAAAAAGAAGATACGACATTAAAGGCGAGATATCTTATAACTGTGAGTATAATCTCTATAAGCACATGATATTATTTAATATTCTAGGCGTATTCTTAAAATATTAAATATTCTAAAAATACGCCTAGAATATTGCTTAAATATTAAATAATATCATGCGCTTATAGGGATAATTAACGTAAGAAACTTAGATTTATACATTTATGTTTAAAAAATTATTTATCAAATTTATTATATGATTAGATATATAAAATCTAATAATAAACCGAAAAAATTCTGAAACAAAAATTCAGATAAAATATGGGTTAATAATTAAGAGTCAAGCGCAAGAAACTTCCCTCCCTTTTTAAACCTCAACTAATTAATTGACAAAAAATTCGTCTTATTTTCACTTTAAGTTTTTCAAGCGATCGATCAAAGACGAAATGAAGAACAAGGAGCAAAAATCGCGTGAATTTGATGATCTTATAGTAATATATACAGTGAATGTTGGTTTGTATATACACGTTGTATGTATATACATATATGTATAGGTCATGGCATACACGTTTTTGCTCCTTGTTCTTCATCTTGTCTTCGATCGCTTTGCAAACTTACCGAAAACAAGAAACAGAAATGATGATCAAGATACATGAATTTTTTTATCAATTAATCTGAAGGTGATGCAAAGGAAGGACCAAAAGATTAGAATAATAGAAATAAAGAAATAAAGAAAATTTTAAGATAATAAAAATGTTGCACCTAATTGCTGTGCTCTCATTAACTTATTTTCTACTTGAATTTTTGTATTTATATATAAAAAAGTCTATGATCGTTTTATTTTTAATATACTTGTAGCAAATATTTTTATCTTTTAATATATTTTTTAATATTTTATTTATTAACGATTAATAATGATTAAAATATTTAATTATAGGATAATTATATAGAGTAATTGATAAAACTAAATAATTATAAAATAATTGATAAAATAATAATGTTAATTAATATTATAATAAAAATACATATATATGTATTAATACATTTTTTATATCTTTTTAGGAGGAGAAAGAACTGGAAAAAATGTAAAAAAAAAAAAGATGGAGCTAAGTAGGAAAAGTAGTTAAGGGAAGCGGATCACCCAATGCGATCAAAAATGGAAAAAAGGTAAATAAAGCAAAATAAATGATTTTTTAAATTAATTTTTTTGTATTTACTCAATCCTAGAAATAGAATATTACTTTTCTATACTCGCCGATATTTTCTATACGATAAATACACGTATATATATATTTGAAAGAATATATACGTTACAATATATTCAATAGTTCCTTTCCACATGACCCGTTTATACACCTTTCGTGTGTGTGCAAAGATTTTTCATTATTATCATTTTTCATTCATTCGAATTCTTTTGCTTACGATCTGTTACCTGCTCGTGCTATTGTGAAAAACTTACCTATCCAAGCTGCGCGTTAGCTGGTAAAATGGTAACATGGAAGAAGTCGAGAAATATTTCAATTGGTCTTTCCATGTTTCTTGAGCTACGTTGCCCATCCTGCGAAAATTTCTTTTCATAATACACAAAAGAAATTCCGATATTTCGGGTATCTTCTCCAAGAGGCGGAGTCTAATGTTCAGTATTGACGATCTACGAATTAAACCAACAATGCTTCGAATGTTAGATTGAGAGTTTGTCGAATTAAAGTTTTTTCTTTCCGCTCTCATATCGTGTATATAATGAAAAATATAATTAATATCTATATGCAACATTTTTAGATTTTTATCCAAGATCTTATTGCTACTGCATAATTTATTCAATTCTGCTAACTATTTTTTAAGAATCCTTTAAAACAATGTCCGCGATAAATATCTGATCCAAATCTATTTTTATCATCAAATCAAGTTTTATTTCAATTCGTGTTTTATCCATTTTAAATCACGCTTTACCTTGCGTGTATCTACATAAATATAATAATTAATAAATAACGAAACGAAAAAGCTTTAATATATTAAATATAAAAAAATTCAGATAAAAATGAGTTAATATAAGAGCATATAGTACGCAATTAAATTTGAACACCTTTTTAAATTAAATATTTTTATTTGTTTTATAAATCAATTAATCTTTTTTACATCGAACATTTCGGTTTTTTCTTTGAATCATTTTCAACAAATCTAAATGACAAAAAAATTCAAACATCTTAATCTTCATCTTAATATTCGTGGTTGTTCTCTTGTTATTGTCATCGACTTTCGCCTTTAATTAAATTTTATCGATTCTATTAAGAGATTAAGCTGAAGAAAATATTATAAAGTTTAAAATAGAAAAATATATATATTTGATTTTTTCTAGTTCGTTGAAATTTTAATTTAAAATACAAAAAGTAATTTAAAAAAGATTTCTAAATAATTTAATTACGTCTACTTACTGCATTTGGCACTTATTATTTTATTTTTTTAAAATAATTTTTATAATAATTAAATCCAACTTATACCTGGGGAGCGATAAAATATTTTAGAATTACTTCAATATATAATATTGCTAAGTAAATTATTAACAAATCTATTATATCTGTTGATGCGCGTTTAAATTAAAATATCGATTTCTTTGAATGTATATCAAAAATCAACCATGAAAAGATGACAAATTCTTCTGATTCTTCTTATAATTTCTTATAACAGGAAATAAACATGTCAACACTGAAACAATCCAAGGACAAAACTTTCTTCTCTTTTCTTCTCCGAATCTTATTTAAAAAGAACTAGGTCATAAAAATCCGGACATTTATTCTCCGCAGGAGAATCCAAATGTTTTTTTCTAAAAGAGACGGCACACAAAATGTTTCGCATAAATCGAAAATTAGGTATTAGTGGTATAAGCATGCATCCGCATGCGGTCCACAAAAATTTTAGGTGTTTCGTTAGGGACTAATTATTTTTTAACTATAAGAAAATTTGTAGACTAAAGTGTCTATTACTTACTTTTATAACGTCTGTTACGAATTTTTCTGGGTAAATATTTTGCAAAATTTACTAATAATAACGGAATATTTGGTCAAAAAATATTATTGCAAAACATTTTATAATCACAAAAACATATACACATATTAATAATCTCATTCAATTAATTTATTATATCAAATATATTTTTCTTATTTTCTTATTATAAATCTTAAATATATAATAATTCAAATAAAAACTCCAATGTACAAATTATAAATGATTACATAACATTCCTAATAACACACTACATATTCCGAAAACGTTCAGGGAACATCCTGAAGATATATTCGAATGTCTTCTGGATATCTTTTACATATCCTTAGAATGTCTTTCGCATATGGTGTGCTATTAGAGATAGAACATTGATAAAAACCAAAAAATAGATATAGCATGTTAGAGAGAGAATCTGTAAAATCAGATAATAATTATTAAAATAATAGTAATGATAAATAATAAAAATATATCTCAATTATCTTATGCTGTCACTAATAAATCGTTATTAGTGATATAATAATTTAATAACAAATTACAATTCCTTTAATGATGTTGAAAATAAATTATCTTGTGTAACATTTATAATATTATAAAAATATTATAAAAATCTGTCGACACCCTAGGGATAATACAACAGTATATATTAGCCAAAACATAATGTTATATACAATTCTAACAAGTAACTTTCTAATATGTGTCCCGCGGAACTCTTCACAAGAACGAGATAGAGAACGCTATTTAAAGCATCCTCGTAATATTATGCAATCGCAATTAATACCTCTAACGTTTACATACTGAGATATCGTATATGCTGTGTTGTGACTGTGACACATTATGTAGCACAAGTATCGCATAGTATGAAAAAAAGTATTTAAATTATTTTTAATTTAATCTTTAGTGTCGAATTTTGCAAAATATATAAAACTTGACAAACACGCGATTTCGCGAATATTGAAAAAAGATATGAATTAACACAAATTGCGTAATACAGTTTAACATATACTCATAAGTTTAAAATAAGAAACATATGTATAGAAATATGATGTACACTTGATGACAATAGATGATGAGAAAGATTTCAAGCTTTCACGAATACCTTGCTTTGTTAAATTAAAACAAAAAGGATCTCTTTCTTAAAATTTTGTCAGATACACAGTAATAATATTTTTATTAATTTGCAATCGAATAAAATTATCCCTAATAATTTTTTTTCAAATATAGCGATTTTAATTAGTCAACTTATTTAAAATCACACTTGTGTGAGATAATCCGCGAACCCTTCGATTATATTATTACGCACTTTCAGGCTCTAATGTTATGCTCACCGATTAAACATTTGAACTTCTGACCGGCCATAATGCCGATGCGAGAGCTTTCCGCGGCCCTCGAGGATGAAGGGCTTTTAGGTACTAATTTTATGTAAAGTTATGAGACGTTGCGGTGCTCTGATGTGCCATCACGCTTCCCGCAGGTGCTATAATCGAGAGGTTGCGCTTCACAGCCGCCGCGCTGCAGTATAACTAAATGTTCTGCTAGGAATTCCGCGAGTTATCCTTTGGACATAACAGGGAGCATTCAACACGAAAATAAACTACGACATTTTTAGATCTTACGAAAAGCCAACACGTATTCCTTATCGTGAATAAAAATAGAGTGTGTAGAAAGGCACGAAATTTGGAAGAAAAAGGTCCAAGAGCACAGAATTAAACTGTTAAGACAAAATCATTCCGTGATATTTTACAATATAGTTATGAATATTCTATATAGAATATTCACAGTTATGGATATTCCGTAAGATAATTTGTAAAACAATATTTTGTAATTCAACTTTTTTCAAATTGCTTAAAATCTAAAAGTATTCAAGTGCAAAATTAGTTAGATGCAATCTCATTCTATTTTATATGTTCATTAATAAATAGATTGAAAAAAAAATATATATATATATATATATGTATACATCTATAAATATACATATGTGTATGTATATGTACATATGTCTATTTATTTATTTATATATATATACATATAAGGATAATCAACAAGTTAACTATAATGCTACGAAAGATATCGTCATGCAATGCATAAATAAGCTGCAGCGAACACTCTACGCACGTCTTTAGTGCGGTGAAGTGTTTATGGCGCAATAAAAAAATAAAAATAGAAAACATTTTTACAGGCTAATCATTAAAGTCGGCTCGGCGAGCAACGAAGATGTCCGCCAATTAATGTCCGCGGGCTCTCGCGTAACTATAACTCTTCAGTATGCACAACGCAAAAGATATATCGAATTATCTTCGTTTGATCAAACTTTTTATAAGAAGAAATTATTTTCCCATCTTTAATGGCCTAAATTTTCAAGTCGTAAATTAATGGAAAAAGTTTAAAATGATAAATTGATTAAACAAAATATGAATTATATAGATTGAAATTAATTAATGAAAGGCTCGTATAAAATAAACAAAATTAAACAATCATATATAGTAGGCCAACTAAACGAGCAAATAAATAAGATGTAAAAAATTTTTTTTATTAATAGTTAAATCATTAAATTAACATTCCGTTACAGAATCGATATAAATTGTAAACGTTTCGACTGCACTACAGTCTTTATCAATACATAAAAATTAAATATTAAAATATAAAGTTAGATGTTAAAAATACAAAGTTAGTTAAATATTAAAATATAAAATTGAAACGATTCTTCGCTGTTGACCAATAGATATGCAAGGCGATTGGTCTGATATGCCAAGTTATGCGATATTTGAGCATGCTACGGATATAATACGCGAATTAAATCAATGTCAGAAAAAATTAAAAAATCTTTCAACTTACATTATCGTTTTAACAAGTCCTTTTCCCCGATATTTCAAGTGTGTGTTGCGAAGTCTGAATACCAAATGTCAAAATAGAGAGCGTGATGTATTTATTTATTACCAATGTTTTTTCTAAATTATGATTCAGCAAATTTTTTAAGTATGTCAAAATAACTACTGTCTAACAATTCGGTGTCTGTATTTAAATTAATTCCATTTTTCTGTTCTTTAATGTGGATCATTTCAGATATTAGTCTTTTTGGTAATTCTTTTCATGATCCATAATTTTAATATTGTCCCAGTCAAATGTATGTTGTTCGTTTAGAATGTGTTCCGTGATAACCGAATGTCTAG